GGTATTTACCTATATTTCCCTCAATAAAACCTGACCTGACCTGACCTGACGATCATGTCGGACTGCAGAACAGATAAACCCATGGAGATATTCAATCCTTCATAATGACGGTAGACATTTTGAGGGGGCGAAAACGGTTGCGATTATCATCTATACGGGGACAAGATCTATGGACTGAGAAATCAGTTAACAGCAAAGTAAGTGCCCCAAATTCGAGGGGTCCTCTTCAAATTCCAAACTCTGAGTGCTTAGGAGGGCAATGAACAATGACTTTATATCTGCCGAATTAAAGTATTTGCATAATTCATGTTTTTAGACCCCCATGTAGACGACGATTTAATTCCGAAAAAGAAATCAGAAGGAGAAATCATATTTGGAAGCAGAAAAGCGAGAATAGATATAAGTAGAGCAAAGGGACAGTGGAATTATCATTTAGGAAATAAGAATAGAATAAGGACAAGAGTTTGGAGGGATCCACTCAGGAGTTGTTTTTAGGACGTATTGAATGAAGCCCTCGTACGTAGACGCAGCCCAGCCCGTGTACGATGCAGAAGCTTTATGTTCTTCTGTCATGCAAGTTTGTATAATTCAGACAAATAATAGCTCAGAGTATTTGAACGTGTCCACATTTTAATGTTCCTAGTTAGCCAACCTGGTAATCCTGTAAAAAGTTGGTCTTTTCACGTCTAGAATCTGCAAGCCTTTAGAACATAGAGAAAACGCGGCCCTGAAATTATTCTGAGGAAGTTATAGGAGCTTGCCTTGTCAAAAACTGTCTATTGCGTGCATAATTGAAGTTTCTGAATTAAAAGCTTCAAAAGCAGATGGAAGACTTTAGAGTTTTCAATCTGCAAATACTGTGACCATTACATGGTCATTCTTGATTGAGGGACGTGTCGTTCCGAAAGTAGGCGGGTGGGTTTGTCACGTGGCGCTGCTTTCAATGCGTGATATCGTAGCAAACGACAGAAGCCACCCCGGCAGCCTCTACTACAGTCAGCATATTTTTTAATTAAAAATTTGTTCTATAATCAAAAGTACTTTACAAATTGTAGTGCACTATACAAATACGAGATATCTACAATGCAGTTCTTGCGCACAGTCATTAATAAACATGACAATTTCGCCATTTCCAGCATTTTTGATCTATTGATAAAGTGATTTCTAAACTATAAGGTTATACTTTTTAACGGAGTAGGTTGGACTTCGCAAGGTGAAAAAATAAAGACAATGGTTTTCTCCAGGTGGAGCACTTAAATCCTACAACATCCCTCTTACCAATAAGTTGTTTTGTTATTTGGCCTCAGGCCTAAATTTCTTAAGAAACCTTTAAGTAAGGTCGGCGGAGGTTATACGAAAGTTACAAGGAAGTGTTATATTTTTTTGCGAAAATTCTCATTAATTTAAAATAAAGGTGCTTATTCATATCAAGAATATGTTTCACAAACCAGGCTCTGTGTCCACGTATTCGTCCAACCGATTGCTTTAGCAAAAAGTTTTGTCCAAAGTTGATTTTGAAAGAAAAATTTAGGATAAGTCAATTGCACGGAAAGTGTTTGGTTGTATAATAAGCATAAAGTGATTGACCGACCTAATGGCTGAAAAAATTTATGTCCTTTGTTTAAATGCGCTACCATTGCCGCGGCTCGCCACTTTTGATAATTGTAGAGCGTGTGGTTAGGTGAGTATGTAAATTGTTCTATCAATTTCACTCATAGCCATGGTTCGTGTCAACCGTCGCGAACGCAAGGAGAACTACTTCAGGCGCTTTGCTAAAACATTGTCTGAGTACGACAAATGTTTTGTGGTCTGCGCCGACAATGTCCGTTCTAAGCAGATGCAGCAAATTCGAGTTGCTCTTCGTGGTTCTGCTGAGATCGTTTTCGGCAAGAACACGCAGATGCGAAAGGTAATTAACAGCCAAGCAGCAAGGGACAGCCGCTTGGAGAGGTTACTGCCACTTCTGCGCCAGAACGTTGGTCTAGTCTTCACAGTTCGTGACTTGAACGAAGTTCGCGCATGTCTTGAGAGCAACCGTTTGGAGGCTCCTGCCAAAGCTGGTACCGTGGCACCTAAGGATGTTGTTGTTCCAGCCCAGAACACCGGTCTTGGTCCAGAAAAGACCTCGTTTTTCCAGGCCCTCTCTATTCAAACCAAAATTACTCGTGGCACCATCGAGATTCTGAATGATGTTCCCATCATCAAAAAGGGACAAAGGGTTGGACAAAGCGAGGCTACTTTGCTGAAAATGTTGAAGATAAACCCCTTCGACTACGGTCTTGTCATCCGACAAGTGAGTTATTTTATGACTTATTTCGTAAGGTTTATGACCAAGGATCTGTCTATAGCCCTGATATCCTGGACATAACACACGAGCAGATCATTGAAAAGTTCCTCCACGGAACGGTGAATGTCACTGCCTACAGCTTGGGTCTCGGTTATCCTACCGTTGCCAGCGTTACCCACATGATTGCTGATGGGTTTAAGAATCTTCTGGCTATCTCTGTGGAGACCGAT